AAAAAAAAAACACTCTCAGTAAAGACAACGCGAGTTTTAACCCATTAACGTCAGCGAGGTTAATTTCTCATTTTTTCTGTAACTCGTAAGGAGGCCGATCGCAGTTCATTTTTGGCTATTGTAGAGACAGAAGAATAACAAGAAACAGCTGATCAGTTTTTAGCCGTCAATTCGAACATTCCCATGAATTATGTGGCACGCCACAAACGATGTTTCATTTTTAATCATTGCATTGAATGGCAAACTCCAATACACATTACTCGGTAATGGCTCATCCTGCAATTATTTCTTTTTTAACTTTTTTTACCGACTGCAAACACTGTTCTGTGGGGATAGTAGCAGAAGAAAAAATACTGATGCACGGTAAGGTACAAATTCTGATAGTTCCAAGAATGCTGAGGAGACACTGCGCTGTAATTTGTGTCAGTAAGCTAGAGTGTTAAGTGCCAATATCAGCCTGGCTTATAAGAATGCGCAGAAGAGTATAGAGAAAGCAAAAGCACAAAATCAAAAAAAAAGAGTCAATTACCTTAAAAAAGGCTTTCTTGCTCTTTTTGTAGATCGCAATAATTTTGGCTTGAGATTGCATTAACTTTGCAACGTTTGTATTGAAAATGTATACTGTTACGAAAATACCCACTGTTCGTAAGGAACGTCCATCCTGAAAAGCAAATGCCAGAAGCGTTTCTTATGATTAAGTGAAAAACAAAATTAACAGTTGCAAAACTGCAACAACAAGAAAGTACTGTACTGCTTTTTTATGCGCTCTGTTCTGCTACAGTATGTCAAAAAGCATATTGTCCAAACCCTGTGAGTTTAAGTACACGTTGTGTGCTCGCCTGGATTTTCAGCTTAGGTGTCAGAAAGGCTAAGAACCTTCAGCAAGGTCATCGATTAGAGCGTTAGCTTACCGTTTCGCCCGTGGCACAAAAGTGCCTAACGCTGGAACATTCGATCGGAAAAAAGTTATACGCCCACACGAAAAAACCGTTTTCTGGGATTTTTATTTAACATCATCATTAGGCCCCGCACCTCTTTGTAAGGGAATGGAAATTCGCAGAAGTAATGGGAGCGGCAGCACATTGTTATTAGTAACTTTTGCTCGCAAAAATCCCAACAGTTCGTTGATTGAAAAACTGCTAGATATAAGCTAAAAGTTCTTGATCACCTGAGTTTTCCTGACTAAGATTCTGACTAGTCCGTTATCGAATTGGACTTTTTGTTTAGTAAATTATCAAAAAATTTCATAACAATAGAGTGTTAGGTATTTGTCTTCATAGGTGTAAAAGTGAATGAAGTGAAATCGTATCAAATTTGTAAAGCGAAGGAAAGGTAAACAAGCCTCTGATTGCACTAGCGAAAGGAACGACTCGCGATTGAGTCCTTGTGTTTTCAGGATTTCTTCCACTGGTGGCAGACAAAACACTAATTCGATGTTATCGTAAATTCCAGGCGGTAATGTAGCACCGCAACTCAAACTTTTGCCATTGTTGAGCAGCTGCGCAGTGACACCAATCGTTGAACCCAGCGTATTACATGCGTCGCAGTATAAACTACAACAAGTATGGTCTTGTTTCACTGGAAAGCTACTTTAAAATTGTTTTATAAACAAAGTACTTTCAGATTTATGATTTTGATGAAATAGGGTTAATAAAATTGCAGCTACACCAGATTGTAAAATCTGTCAGGCAGTTATTACGACTCGAGTTTGGAAGCTCTCGGCATGTGCAGAAATGATCGGTCACGCGTTTTTGCGAAGTATTCTGTAGAAACACGGATGAATGTGCACATGCGTACGAGAGGCGGTTGTTCTCTGGGAAAAAACTATACGACTAATTGGATTGTACGAATAAATGATAAAACCCGAATGGAATATACGCACTAACAACGATGGGCCGTCCTTTTTATTTCTCCTCAAACACCAGGAAAAATAAAATCCGTGAAAAAAACGAACCACGAACCGAGGCCACCGCAGCCATCTGGCCTTTGATTAATACACGGTTCCGCTGGCTGGAAATAGATTCCATAAATAATAAAAAATTTTTAAACGATCCTGAAGTCTATTTTTCTTGCCACCCTGCAGCACATTAACTACATTTCCATTTCTAGAAACATAAGACCAGTGAGATGAAATTTATGACATATTCTAAATGAACATGTCAGAGTATTCATTCTGTGTTTCATCTTCTAGCTGTATACTTTTTCTTTTTTTCAAAAGCGCTCTTTCAAACACCGTGAGCGTGTAATGGAATGTTGCTTCTTACTTTTCAATTTGCTTAAATTATAAAATTATAAATCAATTACTCATCGGTCAGTAATACCAGAAGTTTGTATTTCGTTGAAGTTCTAATGCTTTCGGCTAGGTTTTACACCTGTGCCACTGAATTTTACTTCGTCGCACTAGAATATGAAATTTCGAACTACTAGCTGACTATGGGCCTGAAACGTACAACTCTGTTTGCGTGCTGACCGACAATTTCATGTAAAATCAAATGCTACTTCTTGGTTCCAATTTACGGAGGAATTTGAACCGCA